AACAGTTTGTCACAGCCCCTCGTTTGTTGTCCTCTTCTCTCTCTCTGCCTACGGTTTACCGGGCAGTTCTATTTGTGACGATATATATACATATAGGTCTTCCATGCACTCATCCACCCCATCCTTACAATGTGTGTCCTTTCTGTCGTCAAGGACAGCCTCATTCTTGAGCTTTTCCCTGTGTTTAACACCTTCCCCTTCACTCTGCCTCTCTCACAGTGTGCAAGTGGGCTGTTATGGCATACGGGGATGGGGGCAGCTCGCGCTCAACTTCATCAACGTGGCGAGCCTTGCACGTGAGAGGCACAGTGGAGGTGGAGTTCAAAGAAGAATGAGAAATTTAATGGTTTCAATCTGCCCTTGTTTTTTCTTTTTGTTTTTCTTTTTATTTTTATTTTTGCATGTTATCACTGTGCCCGTTTTTTGCTTTTATTCTTTGTTCTGCAAAGTGCGCTCTTTTAGTTTGTAGTGATGTGACAATATATATATGTATTTTAATTTTTCTTTGAACTTCTGATGTTTTCTTTGCTGTTGAATTTGGCTGCGAATTTTGAAATGATCCTGAGCCAAACGTTGTTTGTAACTTTGAAATTTGAATTGCAACCCAGCGGTTACCTCACACAACATATACATATAACTGTATATGATAACAGGCCATATTTCCAGGTGCTTGATTCCTCCCGAAGGCTCTGAAGAGCCTGAACCTTTTTGCCTGGCAGGGGTGGGTCAAATTGTAGGTACTTGTTCATTGTTCTTCCTTCCTTCCTTTTGTTGCATATTTTTTTCTCCACATTTAGCCACTGAAATATTATCTAGGAGTTCAGGATATATTGGCCGCCTCCGCCTTTTCTTTCCTTCTTTTTCTTTTCGAAAGGCCATCCTGATTTGGAATCACAACTCTCAAAGCCTGTTCAATTTTTCAAGCATTCATTTTATACACTGCTTGTCAGTGGCATGGGTGGCATGGGTGTCGGGAGAGAGAAGGTAGGTGGGATACCCGCAGCGAACTTGGGTGATGCAGAGCAGCTGATTGTGTGTGCAATTTATCGCTTTTGTCACTTCTGTGCTGTGAATGATTTCCCATGTGCAGGCGACAGTTAAACCAGGGAAAAAAGACTCTTGCTGCAATCCAAACATTGTGTCTGCAGTCCCTGAAGGTAATGCTTGGATTTATAACGGGTGTGTTCGTTGTTCCGTTATGCACACATGAACAGGTCACGAGTTCAAATCATGAAGGGTACACCCAATATAGCTGTTGATTAACAGGTTATGAGTTCAGCTCCTGAGCAGTGTGGACGTGTAGTGGTTTTGTGTCAACCTACGGTGGACTGGTTGTCATGCCAGTGGCATTGCCGGGTAGCTACGTTGGTATGGGAGGACCGCTGAAAGCATCTAAGTGGGAAACCCCTCTTGAAAAAAGTTACCATAATACCTTTCTCGGCCTTTTGGCTAAGATCAAGTGTAGTATCTGTTCTGATCAGTTTAACATCTTGCAATGAACCCAGTCTGTTAGGTACTCAGAAGTCGTCAATCAACAGTAGTTTCAATATCTGTCTGAAAGTCTCCAGATCGTGGAGTGATATCTTGAGCAGTATCTCATTATCCAAAAAGAGAAGAGTGTGAAGGGGAGTATAGACAAAGGAGAGGAAGAGAGAATACACGGAACTCTTCAGATCCCTCTCCTTCTCCGGGCTTCTTCCCACACTACATCAATGATAATAAGAATAATCCTGGTCACATACTATAGTGCCACGTGGCACTTTATCTCATGAAGACTTTGAAGACACAGCAGATTTCGAGTGACGACGTCAGCCACAGGTGAGTACCCGATTCTCTACATCCACAGATCCCGATCTTCCTCTTCCTCGCAACCAGTCACCTCATGTAGACAGCGTGGACAATTCCACATCAGCAATCAAGACAGGTGGCATATGCCACATCATCAATGAAGACCAATAGCAGCGCCACGTAGACCAGGAGCAGCGCCACATATACCAGAGGCAGCGCCACGTCAGCATGCCACGTAGACCAGAGGCAGGGCCACATATACCAAAGGCAGCGCCACGTCAGCATGCCACGTAGACCAGAGGCAGTGCCACATATACCAGAGGCAGTGCCACGTCAGCATGCCATGTCGACCAGAGGCAGCGCCACATATACCAGAGGCAGCGCCACGTCACCATGCCACGTAGACCAGAGGCAGCGCCACATATACCAGAGGCAGCGCCACATATACCAGAGGCAGCGCCACGTCAGCATGCCACGTAGACCAGAGGCAGCGCCACNAGACCAGAGGCAGCGCCACATATACCAGAGGCAGCGCCACATATACCAGAGGCAGCGCCACGTCAGCATGCCACGTAGACCAGAGGCAGCGCCACGTCAGCATTGCGTGGCGCACTGAGAAAGCGCCAGCATGCTGCCTCCCCTTCGTGCCGTCGCCCGCAGCGCCTGAGCACAGCCAGCATGTAGCCAGCGTCTCGCCAAAGTCGAGCCAGTGTCAAAGTAGCATAGCAAGACTGAATGCTTGACTCGCCCAAGGCCAGCCTTAAGTAGCAGTCGTCGAGCCTGTCTAGCCTCGAGTGCCTTTCTTCCAGTCGTCCAGATTGACTCACATCTCAAGGCCCGGATTTTTCAGTTGCAGACTTCTCCCTTGGACCTGATGCTGTTTGGGTACCTGCATACAAACAAATGTGTGTGCTTGACCTGCGGCCTGGGCTAGGTACCTTTGGACTTCGACTGTTGGGTGGACCAACAGTTGACCAAAGTTAACTGTCACACGCCCAGGCCCTGAATTCGTGAAAGGCCTTTTTCTGTCGTTATTTGGCCTGGGCTGAAGGCGGCCAAGTAGGCCTTCTGATGGCCCTCAGTTCCATGAGACATATGGCATGGGTTATTGCATTCCTGCCGTTCCAGTTTTCGAGTTCCATCACAGAAGTTACATCAATTCCCAGTTAACCCACGTTCATATGCAGCAACAATATCAGGAGCAGTAGGTAGAAGTTCTTTCCTACTAAACCATCTAGCTTCAGATGGGGGTTGGGACT